GTTGTTGATGATGCCTTGTGTTTTTGGACGACGAGGCGTCCTATTGCCCAAAGTTTTGGGGTTGATAACAGTGTCTGGCCGAAGAGGAAGTTGTGAGGACCTCGGGGCCGTTGCGGTACGTGGACGACAGTGTTTTAGGTATATTGATCTTTCTCTTGGTTCCTGGCTTGAGTTATGTGGTTTCAAGGCCGATAAGCGTCCTGTGATCTCAAGCTTTGATGTGGCCGAAGGTGCACCCTGATGTTATGGACGTTGTGGTGCATGTCTGATGTTGTAGTTGTGGACTTGGTGTATTTTTGGATTTCTGTTGATTTTGCCTGTTATTCTTGAGGCCGGTGTAGTCCCCCAGTCCCCCCACTGCTTCAGGCCGAAGAGTGAGTGAGGGGTGAAGGAGTAGATTGAAACCTAGGCCGAAGCGGGATCCTCATACTGCCCTTGAATCCAACCCTTTGGCGATTTCCTGACCAAGGTAACCCTGTGGGAGAACCCTTGGACGCAGGTCGCTTTCAAAGGGTTATCATCAAGGGTCTAGTGCAAGGGCCTCATGGCCGTTACGTTCATTTCCTCTGGGTGTATTGTTGCCGTTGTGAACTGTTCCTTGCATAATGTGTGGCCCCTTGAAAGGCCGATACGAGTGCTGCATGGGTAGCCGTAGGCTGTGTTGGCCGTTGAATGCCCTGTCCGTTGTGGGTGTTGTATTTCCCTTCTTGATCCGTAGGGTCTGCTTCGGTGGTGGGCTGTTGATTTGTAGACAGAGTGGTGGCATCCCTTTGGTGGCCGTTGGTGTGGCCACTGAGGTGATGCCATATGTAGTTACCGTTGGGAGTGTGGCTATAAATACCCTCCCCGTTCCGAGGAGAGGAGCTCATTTGCATTCTGAGTAATGAAGTGCTGCCCAAATTCTTAGAGAGAGAGAGACCTTGCTGAGTGTTCTTCACCCCCTTCAAATCTTCAAGGTTAGTTCTTCAACCCGTTCTTCGATTTGTTACATATTTTGCTCTCCTAGGCCTTGATCCAGTGTTAGTCACAAAAACACCTTAGATCTAAAATAGTTTGCCTTAGTGCCTTAGGAGTTGTTTAGGATGAAATCCTTAAACGATGAATATTACCCGTACAACGACGAGCCCTCCGCCAAGTCTCTTGACTATGCTGTGATTGAAGAGTGTGCCGAACAGATCGAGTGCCTGAGCCCGTACAAATCCGGGGAACCTGCGGACGAGGAGGACGAGGACGAAAGGTCCGCTTCGTCATCTGAGGGTGAGGACGTAACGGCCTCCCGTGTGGTGGACGGGGCGTCCGCCTCTACTACTATCCCGTGCCCGAAGCCGATGTCTGCCGTCAAGGGCCTGCCACGGCCGAAGAGGAACAGGCGGCCGAAGAATGGGCCAGGCTTCTCTTACCTGGACCTTACCAATATTTTTCTGATCAAGCCGGAGAGCAGTGCCGTTGATTACCTGGTCGCGCAGATGTACGTGGGCCATTCGGGAGGGTCAGGGCACCGAGGCCGACAGACCACGTGCTCAACCCGCCGCCGGGGTACTTCGGGGTAGATCCGATGAGTTTTGCCAAGGGGTTGAGATTTCCCCTCCATCCCTTCATTCAAAAATACCTGGACATGGTGGGGCTTCCACCGGTCTTGCTGACCCCTAACAGTTACTCGCTGATGGTGGGCTTCCTTCTCCGTTGTGCGGAGTTGGGCTACAGGCCGAAAACGGCCCTCTTCATGAATCTCTACCAGATTGGCCGAGGAAGCCACAAGAATTGTGCCTGCTACGCCACTTTGCAGTAGCTGCCGAATAAGAGGACGTTCACGGATTTGCCTTCGTCCATACATGGTTGGAAGAGCAAATTTGTCTTCGTGTCCCTGGGCGAAGATGGCACGGAGTTCCCCTCCGTCGGCCATGATGGAAGGTTTACCCTTCATGACCCCCCTAAGAGTTCCATTCTCGATGCTCAGGTGGCGGCCTTCTTGGAGGGGGGGTCGAGGAGTGTGAAGCACTACATCACGGAGTACAAGATGACCGCTATCGGCTTCTTCAAGTACTTCGTGTATGGTGATAAGGAGGACGACATTGAAATATGGCCGAAGATGACCACGACCTTCGAGGAGGCCGACGGCCCCGATATGGGCATTCCTGCCGAAGCCGATGGTAATACCCCCTTCGGCGTCCTCATTTTACTTTGTCATTTTCATTTGCTGATTTGTTTGCCTTTTGTACACATTTTGTGATGGATCGCCGGTCTGTGATGAACAAGGCCGCTGCGAAGGCCAAGGCGGAGCTGGCCGCCAAGGAAGCTGCAGCAAAGGCCACTGCGAGTAGTGATGCTACGAAGAGGCCCCCTCCTCAGCCGAAGAAGAAACGGTCGGCGGAGGAGACTCAGAGGAAGCTGACTGAGGCCGGCATGCAGCCCGCCAAGAAGTCGAAGAAGGCTTCGTCCTCTGCCACTGCCGATGAGGCCGGCGTGCTAACCGTCCCGATTGTGGACGAAGGAGGGTCAAGCGCTGCTGCTGCCCTTGTGGACTTTGGCTCTGGCCTTACCAGAGGGGGATCTCAACCCCTTCACCTTGCTGAGGACTCTCGGCCGAAGCGGTCTGGCAAGGAGGTGGTTTCGTCCACCTACAAGTTGGAAATTGAATACCCCAAAGACGGGGGGGTTTCAACGATGGCGTTGACGGCCACAACGTCCTTTCTCAGGCCATCTCGGCCAAGGACCGGGTATATCTTGACAAGTTGGGAGATGTCAAGATATACGACGGTGGTATGGACCTCGTCGTCCAGGTAATTCCTTTCTTCCTTGGCCTTTGCTTTTCGTTTCTTCCCTTTGATATTTTTGCATTCTTGACTGATAATCTTTTCCATTGCAGGGTGCCTTTATGCTCATGGAGAGCCATAAGAGGCATCAACGGGAGATAGCCCGTTTGAAGGAATTTGAAGAGAAGGCAGCCTCGGCCGATGAGGCCATGAGCTGTTTGGGGAGGCTGCGGGCAGACTTTGCGGCCTTGCAGAGGAAAGCTGATGAGGCCGATGCGGCCAAGGAAGAGGCACTGGCCAAGCTGGCCGATGAGAAGAGTGCTCGTGAGGCTGAACGTCTGCGGGCGGAGGAGGCCGAAAGAGCCAAGGCCGAAGCTGAGGCTGCGGCAGTGAAGGCTGCCGATGATGCTGTCGCGAAGTTCCTGGCCGAAGGCTGGAAGGCCGACGAGCGCCTCCCTTGGTGCTATGAGGTCGTGGCGGCCAAGCTTGACGATTGGGGGCAGAACTCCCCTGCCGGCCAAGAATACTTTGAACGGGAGATGTCCGTGTATTACAACATGGGCCAGCATCGGATGCAGAGGCTCATCTACCGGCGGCTGAGTCGCGCTCTTCGGACCCTAAACTATACCAGGGGTTGGGTCAGGCGGAATCTGCGGCTTCCTCGGCTGATGAGAGATCCGGAGGAGCAGGTAAACCTTCCTTTGTGTGATAGGAAAAGTCTTTTTACAACATTCACATCCTATGAGTCCAACAAAGGCTCGCCTATTCCGATGCAATCGGAAGTTAACTCATGGAATGGCGAGGAAACTTGCAATAAATGATGTTGCGGGAATACGACTTAATAAAAGCTTCACCGCGGCCGTTGTTGAGGCCGGTGGGTATGATCAACTTCCCTTCATTGAAAAAGATTGTAGGAACTATATAGATAAAGTTAGAAAACTTAGGTTAGGTAGTGGGGATGCAATTGCCATTCAAGGGTTCTTCGTTAAAATGCAAGCTCAATGCCCCAGATATTTCTTTGCACTTGACTTAGATGAGGAGTCAAGATTGTGTAATGTCTTTTGGGCCGACAATAGGTGTAGATATGCGTACAAAGAATTTGGAGATGTCATAACGTTTGACACGACCTACCTTACAAATCGGTATGACATGCCATTTGCACCATTTGTCGGCGTAAATCATCACGGGCAATCAATGTTACTAGGATGTGGATTAGTCTCTAATGAAGATACACAAACCTTTGTGTGGTTGTTTAAAGCATGGCTTGAATGTATGGATGGCATTGCTCCAATTGGGATTATTACCGACCAAGATCGTGTTATGCAAAATGCCATTGCACTTGTTTTCCCAAACACGAACCACCGATGGTGTTTATGGCACATCATGAAAAACGTACCCGAAAAACTCGGAGGGGATGCACAAAAAGATGAAATATTGAATGTTTTGCATGACTGCATTTATGATTCCCTCAAATGATGTTGGGAGTGCGCCAATAGATGTTGAGGCCATACAAGTTGTGAGCAGGAAAGAAGTGAAAAAAAGAAAACGCTGTCGTTCCAAATACCAGTGCTCACCATATGTTGAGCCCATTGTCTCCATTCAACCTGCTATATTTCACCCAACTGATAATCATATTGCATCTCTAAAAGCTTGGATACAAGAAGCTGACACTGTTGAACCTAAAACGTTTGTTCTTAATCTGCCATCATTTGATGAAGTGGACAGGGACTTTTTCCGTGAGCTCGTGGAACCAGATGAGTCTTTATGGTCATATGTGAGTGCCTTCTCATTTTCATATATTGTCATGTATAAATATATGTCTGACATTGTTTTTTGTTAGCATATGGATGCTCTTTCCTACCTGCTTCTGAAAGATTGTGCGTCGGACAAGCCGTATAAGCTAATAAGCCCTTACTTTGCGGTATGCGTTGTTTATCTGTACAGAACTTACATAATTATTTAAGATAACATTGCCATAACATTAGCTATGGCACATTAGCTACATCGTTACTTCTTTCCTGCTCACAACTTGTATGGCCTCAACATCTATTGGCGCACTCCCAACATCATCTCCATCCCAATCCAAATTTTCAAATGGACCGGGGGCTGTTGACGGAGGTAAGTTGTCCTATTCACAACAAATATAATACATTGTTATGTCTTTGTACACACAGACAAACACTATTAATGGACACCAACATTGAGACTCATACACAAACAATCACAAACAGAACAACACAACTTTACCTCATTTAAAGACATCATAAGATCTGGGAAGTTGCTTGCTACCTTATTCTGCTCAGTTTCCCAATTCACCTATTGAATAATTCACAACTTCATTTGTAATTCTACAAAAATAACAATAAAGATAGATAAAAACCCATACCTCAGTCATTACAGTGGAGATGATTACATCTGCCCGTGTGGCATCTTCACCATCTTCACTATCAGCAACATGGTCAGCATCTCCTTTCACAACCTCAACCTGCATCGACACTTCTTCAATGGCTACATTTGGTTCCTCTTCTTGTACGTTGTTCTCACCGTCACCCGCAGCCGCATCATCAGCAACACCATCATCATTAACAACACTTGTCTTCAAAACATCTTCACCGGCAGGTACTCGTTCATCCCCAATTGCATCCTTATCAACCTACAATGCATATAGTTTAATGTGTTAGTCGCGTAGATAATGCAAATGGTCATACAAGTAAGTTTGATCATACCTCTTCCTCAACCGATGGGTTCGGTTTGCCAACCAACTTCAGAAGTAGTACCTTTATTTCTGAAAGACTTTTTTCAACATAAGTGATTTTGTTTTCAACCCTTTGAACATACTTCCGTAGGTCCTTCAGCTCCTCCAATATTTTAACCTTTTCGAACAAGCGCAGGTCTTCCTCAGTCATTTCTTCTTCTTGGTTCTCTTCTTCCTCTCCCCCCTCTGAATCAGAAAGCTTTTCCTCCTCCTTAAAAATGATTGAAGATTTATTGTCAAATGATAAAAATACATAACATTAACAAAATCAATGACAGATTACCTCTGGAAATATTACTCGTCTAAGCTTAGAGTAATGAAATTTTCGTTCGGCCTTCCAATTGAGTAATGGCACATCATGATTACCCACTTTGTTTGCAAAGTTCTTCCCAACTTCATTAATTTCTTCGTAAGCCCACACCTATAATAACCAAAGAATACATTTCTAGTTCGCACAATAAGAAATAAGTAATAGATATTGTTCTCTTATATGTGAACAAATAAATAAGCACAATAGGGAAGTTGTCATATATACCTGCAAAACTAGTGGAAAACCGTAGACAGATAGCTTGGCATTTCTATAGTTTGGATTGTTCTCCTTCCGGTCCTTGAACTTCTGAGGTTGACCATCCATCAGACCCTTCATATGACTCACCAATAACTTGTACGAACGAAGTGACCACGGACACTTCTTGAATTCCTCTAAATCATTCACCAGTCTGATAGAGGATGCATTTATCCTCGTAGTGTTGTCCTTAGCAAGCAACACACACTCAATATAGAACAAGGAGGCCAACTTTACATCATCCATCTGATCACGACGTTTGGAAAGTTTCAGTTTCTCAAATTTGTTCTTCAAATTGACGTGTGTAATGTCGACTGAGCCACCTAAATACTTCTTAGCAATGGCCCCTACTGGTTCAGCTTCATCGCCAGATTCTTGTCCTGAAACATCACCTGCAGCAGCTACTGGTTCAGCACCCGCTGGTAATCCACTTATGCGGCAAAAATCCACATAAGTAAACTTATACAGTGTACCCCCAATGGCAAACCACAGCTCCTCATCAGGTTGCTCCTGCACAAGGTGTAAGGCCAGCATGTGAAAGACTTGGCCAGAGAATTGTGTGGGTGGGATGTCAATAAGATGGCCCCATGGTAAAGCGCGAAAAATTTCTATTTCAGTTGCAGATAAGCTGCTTTGTACCCATTTGGCAGCATTTCTAAAGTTTGAACACACAGAATACTGGGCAGGAAAGTAGTCATGACTGGGAATGCGTAACTTCAGGGCTCTGGCAGTTGGAAGAACAATAAATTATTAGGGCAGAGAGACAAAAGGTGACGTTCATAGACCTAAAGTATATTCACAGACAATAAATAACACTCCACAGGAACTTTACACCACCACACAGACAATTTATAAACATCAGCAAAGGAATTACACTATGTCATAGACATAATTTCATTCACAAGCAATAAATAACAAAAAAATGAAGTTAACACCACCACACAGACAACTTGCGCACATCAACAAAGGATTTACACTATATCATAGACAAAAATTTAAACCAGTCCACAGACAAATGTTCGAAGATTGCAAAAAACCCAACAAGTTAAATAATAAACCTAAAAACAAACAAAGGTTGGGAAATGATACATACCTCTCGGCCATCTCTGCCAGTGGGGTTCGCACCATTGTTGTGCGTCGTGGTCCAACCTCAGTCCGCAGTGTAAGTGGGGGTGCCGGTTTCGTGGGGATGTGGGAGAGAAAGAAGGAGATGTCGCCGCAGGTTTGATTTTCGAGAAGGAGGAAGTTGCTCGTTGATTTTCGAGAAGGAGGAAGTCCGCAGTGAGGAGGCGGCTCGTTGATTTTCGCCGTTGTAAGGAAGAAGAGAGAAGCGTGGTCCGGGTGGGGGACTTTTGATTTTCGAGGAGCGGGGGAGCGAGTCAGAAGCGTGGGCCGGGTGGGGGAGTGAGGGGAAAAGAGGGGGGTAAATTTTTTTGGGTTTAAATAGTGTGTACATTGAGTGTACAAATTGTGTGTACAAAGAGCAATTTTGTTACAACTTACCTTCGAATTTTGCACAGCCAGTTGCAAAGCATTTAATGTTCCTGTACTTTAAAGATAAAATCTAAGATATGAGATCTCCCAACATTAAATGCACAATAAAATTTTGAATAGATAGGATACCGTGAAAATACTTCAAAATAGAACTGGAATATTGAGGTGTTTGCATTAAATGTTCCAAAAGTTTGAAAAGACATGTTGATACAATCATCGATTACTATTTGTAAGACCGCTTGGGCCTCCTCAATTCCACTGTGTACCTCCTCCATAGCGACTTGGGCCTCTTCTTCGTGGAGGCATCTGAGTAAAGTGTCATTGTATGACCGCTTGTAGAGTTTTCCATTTTCGAGGACGTAGCTAGGAGCCCTCAACTTGGCTAAGTTCTTACGGTTCTCGTCCTCGGGCAATTGCCCTGTTTTGATGAAGTAGGCGATGTATGAGATCCAGTCCTCCGGCCTCTGGTGTATATCCATGATGGGGCTGGCATGTATGCTGGAGAGGCTGAGTTCCTCTATCCTTGCAATCTTGGAGATGTGCTCGGGGGACTCATCCGAGAGCTTGGATAAGATGTCGGTGTTGGTAGAAAATAACCCGGGTAGAGAATTCGGCAGCATTTCAGTGTAGTAAAAATAACTTGGGTGAATACAAGGGGTTAGAGACTTATTTATAGGCGTATACAACAAGTCCAATAATAAAAGGCTACATGGGCTTGGCCCGATTTATTAACTAATACTGACGCTAATGGGCCAGCCAACCCGATAAGTAATTACATAATCCCAGATCAATATCCGCTAGTCGAACTGTGTTCTGAGCTTGGTCGGGCCAAAGCTCGGGTGTAACATGCCGATAGTCTTGGACCCAGCCCATTATTCCAACACGTGTCCCCCACTCTCTTAGTCGAGTAGTAGACTCGGCTAAAACAGAGTAGTTAAGCAGTTTTGGAATCGGTCTGGTTCCTGGTCCGGCCGATCAGTCATTAACAAGCCTTGAATTTGATCCAATTGCTCGTGAAAGGATTATGTCTTCCTTGTTCCGATCGGGATACCTCTTCCTTTGTTCATGATGAGGGAGTGCCTCGTTAAAATCTTACTAGGAAAAACCCGATGGGAAAAAATCCTAGTGAAGGAAAAAGAGTACACTGGAACCTTAAAAAGTCTTGCTTGTGCGAATGAAGGCTGGTTCATATGTGCTTTAAGTGGGTTTAACTATTAAAACATTTAAAGAATGGAGTTTACGCTTTTATCCCTCATTAAATGGAAGACCGTCTGGCGTTAGTTTGACTTCTAACGGCAGGGGCGACATTTAATGTAAGTGGCCCAACTCAGTGGTGTAATTTGAAATCTCAGAAAACACAGGTCTGAGATTTTAATTTCGTGAATAACTGAGGGACCATATATGCGATGGTGGCGGTGAATTGGTAAATTCTCTTTTTCAAAATCATTTTCTTAAATGTGGCATCCTGTTTCGCAAATCTTGTCCGGATGCGCCTGAGCAAAATGGTGTGGCTGAGCGTAAACATAGACATCTTCTTGAGCTATCTCGTACTATGCTCATAGAGACCGCATTACCCTCTACATTTTGGGTTGATACCCTCTACACGGCTACTTTTATTATCAACCGTTTACCCACACCAAATTTGTGTGGTCTCTCTCTGTTTGAGATCCTTTTTCAAAAATCTCCTAACTATAATTTTCTATGTGTTTTAGGGTGTGCTTGTTTTCCCAATTTCATAGCTAATTCCTCAAATAAATTGTCCCAAGGGTCCATTATGTGTGTTTTTCTGGGCTATGCACCCGACTATAAAGGCTATTGTTGCTTTGATCCCCGAACATGTCGTGTTTATGTAAGCAGAGACGTAGTTTTCCATGAATCCTCTTTTCCCTAGACCACCCTTAGACGACCCCCTGCTTCCCAATCCTGACCTGACATCCTACCACCCTGGACTAATTATTCTCAGCCCCTACTCCCATATGTGCCATCAGCCAATCCCCATAGCTACACTCCGGTCACTGCTGCCTCCTCGCCCAGCAGCAGCAGCCCGTCTCCCCGCACCCAGGCCAGCGGTAGTCTGCCTACTAGCAGCACTCCATTACCCATTTCACCACTCCCCACACCAACCCCCAGTCCACCCGACTCTCCCCTATCCAGTAGCTCCTTATCTAGCAGCCCCACACACGCACACTCAACATCTTCACACGACTCCCTCCATCAAATGCCCAGCAGCCCCCCCACAAGTCTCTCCATCTACACATATGGCTCCCAACATACATCCCATGCGCATGAGAGCTAAAGATGACATTTTTAAACCTAAAACTATTTTTAATTTGAACACTTTACCTCTCCCTAATGACCCCACATGTTTTTCTGAGGCAAATAAAAGTTTAATTTGGCGGGCAGTCATGACAGATGAATTTAATGCTCTTATTGCTAATGATACGTGGGATTTAGTACCTAGTGACACTACAAAAAAATGTGGTTGGATGTAAGTGGATTTATAAAATGAAATATCGATCGGATAGGTCTGTTGAGCATCACAAGACTCGTTTGGTAGCCCAAAGCTTTAATCAACGAGCTGGGGTAGATTTTTCTGAGACATTTAGTCTGGTGGTTAAACCCACCACAGTTCATCTTGTTCTTTTTGTTGCTATTTCGTTGGGATGGGCGGTGCGTCAGTTAGATGTTAAAAATGCCTTTCTTCATGGTCGTCTTACAGAAGAAGTATACATGTGTCAGCCGCCCGGATTTATTCATCCGAATTACCCTTCTCACATCTGTAAGCTAAAGAAAGCTCTCCACGGTCTGAAACAAGCTCTGCGAGCTTGGTTTCACCGCTTTAGTGGCTTCTTACTTTCTCATGGTTTCTCACAGAGTCAGTCTGATTCCTCTATGTTTACATACCACTCTCAGTCACACATTATTTATGTCTTACTCTATTTTGATGACATTCTTATCACCGGTAGTTTTGAGTCCCTATTCCATCACTTTATCCGTTTATTATCCAGTCAATTTGCAATAAAAGACTTGGGGGACATTAATTTTTTCCTTGGTATTCAGGCCTGCCGCACTGCTAAAGGTATGTT